AGAAGCCAACACTCGCACAACATGCAACTCTCTACCACTGCTTGTGAACAACAGTATTTTCGGTGTTTTGGCTAATTCACATTTGCAAGCTTTTTGTTATGCGAAACTGTAGTTCGGTGTCGAAAAACATAAAAGTGGCGTTTTGTTTTAAATTTATCTGCAATTTATTGCTCAAGATATTTTCGAAAAAATTTTTTAAAGTTAGATCAATCTAAACAAAACTTCAAGTTCCACTAGGTGGCAAGAACTTGGGCTGTGAACGTTCGCGCTGTCTGATGGCACAACTCATGCGGCCTGAGAATTTCAATAATTTTTTCCGAACAGATCGTTCTGTATATGATGCCAGTGTAGATTTATAAGTACCATAAATATCATTTTATTTGTCTTTGAATTTTTGCTGTCAAGACGTGGTTAGTTCCAACTACAAGTCCCTACTACAAGTTCCAACTACCGAATCAAAAAAGTTTACTAAACCATTGATATGAAAGTGCTGCTAGCCTCTCGGTAAATTTTTTGTGTCTTATTAAAAAATTCTGCAGGTCAAAAACAACTATTCTTTTAAATAAAGTGTATATTCGTACGATCGGCAAAAGTGTCTTAACGCTTCGCTTTTTTACTAGAGTCAAAAACTAGCTGCTTATCCTTCCTCACACTTCAAAAAACTACAGTTTTTTCATCAAAACTCTCTCTTAAATTTTTTTTTTGCAGTTATGATTCCACAGCTGTCGTGTTTGGTTCCTTTTACTATAAAAAGTGCTGAATAAGATGTTGAGAACATTGAATACTGGAGGGATTATTTGTTGAATGGGAGCAAGAAATTTTATCCGTTTTCCACTGTCCTTTATTATTTTAAAAGCGGTTTGGTTGTTAAAAGGAACCGCGTTCCGGGGCCAGTAACAAGGCGGATGAAGCCCACCACAGAAGCGTTCATGACTTGCTTTAAGTGAACACTTCTTTGGAAGTATAATGAACAGAATGACACCAGCTGTAAATCAAATTATTAATAAAGTGGTAGCTTCTGTAAATTGAATTAACTTGTTTCTGAACTTTAAAATTTTTTGAAAAACGCTTTCTTTTCAGGTTTTAAAAATAGTTTGTTTCTTATAACATGCAATATTCGTGTTAGTTAAGTATATATACCACATAATTGAGAAACTGTTGTATAATTAAACTGCTATACAATTAAAAAACTATTTTTTGTGAAGCTCAAATGTTACTTCCAAATATCTCTCATATGATGATGGAAAAGTGTTATATAAAATGAAAGTAATTTTTGTGATAGAAAACAGTGTAAACAATTTATGTGCTTGTTCGCTTTGTAGGTTGGTGACGCTGTTAAACTCAATCAAAATTTACCACTCAAAGCATTGAGCAGTGTAAAACAATGCAGTCTGGCGCAACTCGAGCTGTTCGTCTGAAACTCTACAGCGGTACCACGATAACAGGACATTACGACAAAACAGGGGCGGAAAATTAAATCACTACTACCTAACCTGTCACCATGGTCACAAGACAGTAAAAACTTCAAAATTTTTTCGGTTACTTTACAGCAACTTATGACTGAAACGGTTTTCCTCGTGTACAACGTACCAAAAGACAAAGTGATTATTGGTAACCTTAAAAATTTCTTTAAAAACAGTTTTTTTGCCATCCATATTTTAAAGACATTGATTTGCTCTTACGTCCTTATCTGTGCATTTTTTTCCAACCAAGTAAGGACTAACGCCAGCACAGCCACTTGAGAGAAGAAGTACAAAAAAAAACGTCTATATGATAATCGGCTAATACTGAGACAATTCTCAGCGAACAAAAATAACGGGAATGTTGAAAAAAGTAAACTTAAATAGCAATTAATTTTACTAAATGTTTTTTGTAAACAATTATGTTCAGAAAAATCTTTGTTGTTTGTTGTCGTGAAAAAATTATTTTCAAAATTTCAATAATTTTTTTGCTCATCTTACCCGGATTTCAGTGCAAAGAAAACTAAATGTTGTTATATTTTTCTGTATTTGTTGGACGCCAGGTTCCACGTTGATTTCACATTTTCTAACTTCAGCAGTACTGGTGCTCATTTCAAAAAAGGTGAACTATATACTAAACGAGAACTAACAGCTGCATACCTATGAGGGCTAAACGTTGTAAGCCATTTAAGATGAATATACAAGCAGTTACTGAACATACTATCCACTGCATTTCTTTCAAAATTTGTGACTTTATGACGTCAGCAACCTGTGCTGTTTTTTTTTTTCCAGGTACCAAAATTTCCAATTGAAACGACACAAAAAACAAATAAAGTGAAGCAGAATTGTCCAAAACCGGCATGATTCTACAGACGATATATTCAGGCGCAACTGTGGTCACTGGTCTAAGAACAACAACAACCACAGTGAAAACTTCGCAATTAACGATCAGTAAGTAATATTTGTTGGCCAAGCTCTGGTGCTGATGTTATAAAGTAACATTTCTATCATAATTGATTGCTGCTCAAAACAGTTTTTTTTGTAAATGAAAAAATGCTTTTAATTTCAATATTTTGATTGGATAAGGAGAAGCAGAATCAAAGTATGATGAAAATTGCCGTTTGACTTAAATACAGTCGAAAAAAATTTTTTTTCCTTCTGTTGAGAAGTTTTTTGGGAAGCAACAGTAAACGAATAGCCAATAAGTAACATATTCGAGTGAACTGAACCGAAAATGAACAAGGACGTCATGTAAAGTTCATAAGAAAACGTGCGTGATGCAAGACGTGTCATTGATAGAAAAAAAGTGCCACTGTCTCAAAAAAATCTTGTTTCCTCACAGTTTTTTATTAGAAGTCAGCGAATAGAGCGGAAGAAAAAGGAATTTTTGTTCCACGAACTGATCAAATTTCCATTTTCAAGGTACTTCGCTTTTAATTATTTTTTTTGTATCATTTTTGTATTTTTTTTGATAACCCATAAGACTTTTGAAAATGCTACAATAGTAACTAGTTTCTTAAATGCTCGTCTTACTTCGTCTAACAATTGTCGATCGTATTATTAAAATATGTAACAACGTCACTGAGGTCTCAAATGAAATTGGTTGTTGGGAGTATAAATAAAAGATACAACAGTAAGCGTACAAGTTTTCTTCTCTGTTGCAGTTTCACGTAACCTTTTAGTTGCTGCTACCGGTTCGTTTGAAAGGCCAGACAATGGGTGAAACAAGATCAGCAGTGAACTGTATCAATATAATTATTGGTCAGTATTTTGAACCCAAGACTTTACGCTGCTGGTGTTTTCAGTATTTACTATTTCTGTTAGCGATGTACGGTACGATGAAACAATGGGACCAACATTGCTGGGATAAGTGCATCATTCAAATTTTTTCTTGATAATGTCTTTGACTTCATTTCTTCAGTGCCCGCCAGACTGCTGAATTAAACCAAGTATTGTAGTGTAAGTAGTGAAGTTGTAATTAATCAAAAAAAATTTTTTTTTTATTTTCGTTTGCTAAATCAGATGTGTAATTTACGCCATTAAAACAGAGGGGAAAAAACGTATTTGTCTTTCAAAGATGAATTTGCGGAACGACGATGAGAGAATGAGACAGGTAATTTTTCAGGCGTTCTAGTTTGAATTGAATTTCTTAGGATTAGGTTGATATAAATACTGCAACAATTTTTTGTTGACTAGTCATTGCCTGATAGTCAACGACATCAGTAAAGGCTGTTCAGTGTCAGTTGTCAATAATTGTCTCTTGCTACGCTAGGACATTCCTTTTATTCTTATTTTATTTTATTTATTACCAAAGATTTTCTGACAAAATACTTTTACAAATGTTCTTTATAATTATTGCTATAGTATTTGTTCAAAATGCTTTGATTCTGAAGTGCTCTATTGTTTTTAAAGTTTTTTTCTTTTTTAAATGACGATTAATTTTTCTTCTAAAGTTTTCAAACTGCTGTTTACTTTCATGTATAATTCGCTAAACAAAGACTTTATGAACATTTTTTGTTGGAAGTTATCTTTCTTTTCACAGTTATTTCTGTGTGGTATGTCAAACGAACATTAAAATCAAAGTTAAATGTGTTGAGAAACTTGTTTTTGAATCTCCAAAAAATTTTTGGTATCACTAACAGCAAATGCCATTTCTCTGCAATTTCAGCAAGTAAGTTTTGTGTGTTTTCAATTCTTTGAAGAGTTTGAAGTAATTTGCTTATAGTAAAGCATTGAAAAATGTTTTAGTATTTCCTAGAGAGGAATCAAGAATGTTCTTTCTTGTACCAACAAATCAAAAATGCTGACATTCAGCTGAGTTTCTGCTTAATTTTCTTCTGCCTTTCTTTCGTTTCAGTAATAATTAATAATATTCAAGTTTAAAGCCGTCAACTTCAGCACCGGTGACTGTTCGCTTGAACAATTAAATTGTAATTTTGCTCAGTACACATTGGCCGTAATTTGAACATTATATTGTTGAAAAAACCTTTTATTTTAATAATGACTGTAAACTGAAAAAAAGATAAACTGGCGGTGGCGTTTGTTTTCTTCTTTTTTTTTTTTTCACTGAAGATTGTAAAGTAATTTATTTATACAGTTAGCGTTTTTTTCAGCCTTCATTTCCGTTTGCAAAATCAAGTTCTCGTTATTGCAGAATTTAAAGTTTAGCAGCTCATAAACATGTAAATTATTCTTGACCAAAAAAAGGAAGTGCACCGGCTGTTTTTATTAATAATAGAATTGATAGATATCCAAAAAAGCTATTTAGAAAAATCTATGATTGCTGTATAATTATGAGACATACTGCAAGCATGAGATACTAAAAATAACATTGCAAAACCGTTTGAAATTTCTATCGTTTCTACTATTCCTTTACATCTGAAAAACGGCGGTCTTTTTTAATACTAATTTTAATTCGTATCCAATTATCACCAGTATATTCAGCTGTGTTCGTTATCTTCAGTTGTACTTTACCTTCTTTAATTGTTTCGCTGCTAGATTATACAATTTCGGCAAAAAGGCAGTAATTTTTCTTTTTAGATGAAAGCTTTATTTCTGACCGTAGCCTTATTACTCTGCGTGCAATTAGCAAGTGCATATTGGTATGGGCCAGGTATGGGTATGTATCCCGGCATGTATGGCTATGGCTATGGCCCCTATGGTATGTATCCCGGGTATATGTCACCAAGGCAAGTGCTTAGAATTCTTAAATTTTTATTATAATTAGTGTTTCGCTAAACATAACCAAAAGCCTAATATGACGGATTGAAGTTTTAAGAAGCATCTGTTGGAGCTATCGTTCACTTGCTAAAGCAAAACCTATGATTTTTCATTTAAGCTGCAATTTTTTTAAGAAATTAATTCAATTTACAACCTTATTATGTCACACCAATCCTATTAGCAGTCGTTTAATTAGAGATAGTAGACCTGTATTTTCTTATCAGTTATTATCCGTAATTCTGTACTTGTAACAAAAAAAAAAACAAAAAACAAAAAAAAAAATAAAGGCTAAATACAACATTTTCAGCAGCATTTTGACAAAGAAAATTATTAAAATCCAATGTTTCCCTTCTTTGATACTGAAAAACTAGTGCGGCATTAATGAATTTTTTAAGCAATACTAGTTTTCTTGTTAGACCTTCAAGTGCAAAAATATCAGTTTCAAATTACAGAATGCAGGGAGCGATGAGAGGAGCAAGTACAGGAGCAATGATCGGCGGTCTTCTTGGAGCGCTTGGCAAAAAATAATAAGCACTGGTATCTATTAAAACAAACAAACACTGTAAATTTCAATGTCCTTTACATACTGTAATTTCAGTTGTACACATCATGTCTATAGTTTGAACCATCAGTTACTTCATCCGTCATCATTTAAAATTGTCTGAATAAAGAAACTGTGTCTCACCCTACACTACTCTTCAACAAATCAAGTTCGACCTATGTATCGCCTAAGGAGGTCATTTGTTTAAAGAGTCCCCATAGCTGCCAAATTTGCAAATGTTTAGCCGATTTCCTAAAAATCCTCTGAAAAATTTTTGTTAGAGGGCTGAGCTTTCCTTCTCGCTAAACACTAAAAAATACATGACGTTCCACAAATTCTAGCAAGTTTTTTTTCCTAAATACTTCAGAAAGAAATCAATCCCTACAAATCTTTTTCAGTAGCGTAATCAAGCAAGCTGAGGCTCTTCCACAAGACAGTTATTTAAACATTTATCTCCAGCTTTGACGCAACAATTCAAGCAGGACCTAATACCACATATTAAAATCCGTGTGACAATAAGTTAAGCTAAAACCAATAACAGAAGTTTATTATTTAGCCACAAATGTCGGCAAGAATTAAAAACAATACCAAAGAACAAGATGAATCAATTATCAACAATCATGACAACATTGTAAACATGTGGAATTTACACGAAGTCAACAAAGCCAAAATCCTCCAAACACAATACGCACTGTTTTCCACATTCAATGGCATGCAGTTTAAAAAATCAAATCTCTTCTTAAAGTTAATTTCGCCTAAAACGGGATACATAATGTATCAAGGATTTCACAAACTAAGAAGGGTTAACAAATCGTCATATTTTTCACCAGCGATATTGAATAATTCCAACTTTTGCCCTGCCTAGACGACAAACCACCAGCCATAACCTGACCAAATGTATTCCAATCCCGATTTTCTGATGTTGCTTAACTTTCAAACATTTACATTTTTCTTTATAAAACCCCCACAAGAAAAGAAATAATATTTTAAAACTTGAGCTTCCTAGCGCTCGTTCGACGAGTTCGCCAAACGATTGTTTATCTAAGTCGAGCTCGCTCTATGAGAGATACGGTTCCTTAAAGCACCTGTAACTGCCTACAAAAATTCTTATGATGACCAAATCCTTAACTACTCTAATTTATTTTAAAAGATCAAGAAAAAGAGGAAAAAGCTCAATTTGCGTAAAAAACATCAGAGTTAAATAACTAGACGTAAAGAAACTGTCTTCTAGAAAAAAAAAGATAAAAAATTGAGCGGAATTCCCCCGAAACTTAAGAATTAGCTACACTTGAAATATGGCAAAATGACAAAACGAACAAAAAGTATAATACAAACAAGCGACAACATAAAATTCTTTTCCTACCAGTGCTCTGATGACAATTTAGCAGCCAAGCAAGATGCATAAGATATAGCACTCAAAATATTAAATTAAATTCTGCAATTACAGAAGAAAGAAGACATCACGATAAATCATCAAACACTCAAACTCTGATTGTGGAGACGGCTAGTTTCTTCAGCAATCCATGATACAAAGCTTAACACCTTAGTATACACACCAACTTTCCTTGGCTGTGCACATCCCTTTCCCCAACTGACAAGGCCATATAGTACCCAAGCCCCATCAACAAAGCAAAACAGGGGCCCTCCCGAATCGCCCTAAACAAAAATCTAACAACTTTTTTAATCAACACAGACGACCAAACTCAGGTGCAATAGACTAGGCGTGTAAAACGGTCATCCCTCGTTAAATCACGAAACGTCAGCAAATATCTCAAAATTTTCCTTGAGTTTTGCTTATTTACAGTCTGGTTCTGCTTTTAAAAAACGAGAAAAGCTGGAGAACATTAATTTGCCGGTGAATCATATCCCACTAAAGTGTGAAACCTGCCCTTTTAACTTCATAATCCTCCAGGTTTTGCAGTTAGGTAGTGCTGAATCGTTAACGAAATACAGACTCAGCGATAGCACAATTCTCTTGCAGAACCCTACTCAAGTATACTGTAGTTGCTCATCTTGGCTCAAACTGCTATAGCTTTTAAAGTCAACGTTTTTGTAGAATATGTTTTAAATTTAGTAAAGCGAAAAAACCTGGACACGATTCTTCTTGAAAGAAATAAAAAAGTTACATTTCATTTTAAACGTCTGTATGCTTTATTTGTTCCCATTTTAGGTGTACACAAAAGTTTTATAGATCCTTTTAAATCTAAATCAACAAAAAGTCCAGTCAAATTAAAAGCCAATTTGAAAAAACTGCAGCAAGCAAAACGAAATAACGCTAAGAATTTCGTAAAAACTTTGAATCTGCAAGAGAAAAAAGAAATGAAAAACCACTGCATTTCGATGGAGAATTCAGATTTTAAAATATTCTTCGGCCCTAAAGCAAAAGCAAGTACTGATCAGCAAAATTCTTAAATTTTCCGAGTGATCAGATGAAAAAAGAGCGCAATCTGAGGCGGGATAACCTAAAAACAAGTTTCAAGAGAAACGTTATGACACCTTTCTCGTAAGCACTATAAGCTGTTTACACTTTACGAAACTAGGCGTGTAAAACTACGCACAAAAAAAAAGAAAAAAACAGTACTTGACATGCGTCTATACCACCCTCCTCGTAGCCAGCGCAAAGCATCGATTCTCGATGAATTTGGCCATTGTAGTGAGAGCTATCGTTGCATAAACGGTAAGGAAAAATTGGTACAGCAATTTCTTTCAGCACCGTTGAGCAGTTACCCATCTCCCTCTCGTGCCCCCAACCTAGGTTGATTCACTTTCAAAGACCTTCCGTCCTCTTACAGAAGATGATATTCAAATTAGCAACCGAGCTACACTATTCAAACAAGAAAGAACTCATCAAATCTTTTCATTAATTATCAAGTAAACCGATTTACCATCAACATGGTTACCTGTAACAATGCATTTTTGGCGTACAGAGGCGGGAACCTTTGGTAAACAAACCTTCCTAATAATCTCGCTAAAAAGTGCAGGAGGTTCGAACCTGGAAAAGATAAAATCTTAAGTAATAAAACGTTTGAAACCAGAACAAACTTGACCCTTCCAAATCCCATAATTAAGTTAGCCATCACCAATCATCTTTAAATAATCCATTACCCCTATTAAACATCAAATAAATTGCACAAACGTAAAATAAATTTTTACTTTACCTCATAAGAGCGATATCATATAAAGAACGAAAAAGGTTAAATTTAGGATGCACAGATATATTCACCACTTTGTATTCCTCACCACTTCCAAAACGAAATCCACCGAGCAGTAGCCTATAACTGCTGGGATCCAAACTGGAAAAAGTGATTAAGGAGAGATTCAAGATCTTATGGCATCAAAGCTATATTGTAGACCAAAAAATCCCATAAATCTTTTTGAAAAATCAGCCATATTTTTCTCCTAATTTATTTATTAAAATCGGGAAACGAGCCCCAGCTTAATCAAGAGATTAATTTAGAAAATGTTAAAGCAAGAAACCTCAACTCTAACTTCTAGTACTGCGGCAGGTATAGTTATAAAATATATACAGTAAACCTGGTAGGCTCATTAAAACAATAGTAAAAGCGCCTCTTAAACAACACACTTATCAAAATAAAGTTGTGAATATCGTGAAATCCCATCAGAACTTTCTTGTTTTGCATGTTAAAGTTTAGATAAATAATTAAATCAGTTTTTAGAAGCATAGTTCTGATTATTTTAGCTAAACTGTTTAACTACAGAACTAACAACAATATAAGCTGGAAGAAATCTTACAACCATTAACACCAACAACCGTCCTATTTTTCAGCAACCATCATTCTTCCACTTAACAAAAAAAAAAAGCCATACTTCCTTCTAAAACAGTGAGCTGCCGAAACAGCAATATCAGCTTCAATTAAAGCACCTCCGCAACAGTGCCTTCCAGAATTCCATAAAATTTGCACTGTCCAGGGCCAAGCATGTGGTGGACTGACACTGCCACCGACTAGACGGTACTCTACCATCTTAAACAAACAAATTTAAATGTGTTATTTCAAGTTCAAGGCTTCATTGTCAACTAAAAACTACTTTTGCGACTTGCTGAAACAAAAATATAACCTTTTGAGAAAAGTGCACTTTACAGTCTGATTAACCCCGGTATCAGTTTTGCTAATTCATTTACTGTGATCACTGTCAGAATGTTTAGCAAGTAATATTAAAAAAAAATTATTATAGGACCTAATCCTTAAGCAGCGCTATGTAACAATTGCACTGCTTAATAACACACCAGGCTGTCAAAAAGCTACTCCACGACTCTTGCAGAATTCACTTTATACTTGGGTCATTAAAAGACTGCTGAACCTCATCCTCTTACACTGAAATATTCAACTGAATTCGATGAATGTTCAGTTTCCCAGCATTACTTTTAAAGCAACAAATTTTTTTTTCTCACGTTTTGCATTCTTTTACCTAAACAGGTATAAATACTTTTTTTTTTTTTTTTTTTTTTTTTTTTTTT